GGCAACTTGTAATACCATTTAATAACTTCAGTTAGCTTGAAAGATGACTTGTGAAAGTGCTTACTTTGGTAATGTTAGACAAATTGAGGTATTACAAACCATTCACTGAGAAGTTTATATGGGATTTGTCTTTCAGTATCTCGTATTTTGACCACAGGAGCATATTTGAGATATAAATGAGGATTTTGAAGTACTAAATAGACTTTAGCTAATTCTGTGTGAAAAACCCAATTATATAGTTCACTCTGTGTCATTCCTGTGTTTATTTATAAATTTAGAAATGTGTGCTTTTACAATCCTCTGGCCTTTAATTTAGAATGAATTAAAGCCAACAGGAGTAAATACTCTTGACATCAGTAGGAGTTATGTTAATTTTTAGATTTCTGCTTCAGAATTCAGTTATATTCTTTGTGCTATGTTCTGTATTATCTAAACAAAGATTTTGCTTGGCTTCTGGTAAATTATTATGGAGCCAAATCAATAACTAGATTCAAATAGATTATACCATTGGACTCCAGGGTAGCCTTGAGCAAGTATCTCCTCCTTTCCAGAAGTCTAGACCTCTACTAGGACCAGCTTTTGAGGAAAATAGGGACAGCAGCAGAGATCCCTTAACGGACATTCTGGGAAAGAATGGCCTGGAACAAGCTGGCTGCATGGGGCCCATCAGTAGGGCTACACGCTATCAGGACGTGCCAGAGCTGAAGTAGCTTCAGCTCCTGTACCACTGTGGAGGCTGCTAGGTGCCCAAGAAACGCTCGTATCTGAGGAGCTGGTTACCAATGCCCTCAGACTGGGAAAGTGGAGATAAGCTGTGGATAATAACCCCCCAGATTTTAAGATTTCAGGACGGTATGGGAGAAGCAAGGTAAGAGGACAGGCCTTCCATCAAAACTGCTAACATGTACTGACTGCCCCCTTGCAGGATTAAGTGAAAGCATTTACAGAAAGTATGCATCATGGGGCTGGGGACACAAAAGGTTGCAGGTCCGTATCAGCTGTGTGTGCCCAGAAGTAGAGTGGGATGTGGGGTACATCTGGGCTGACCTGAGTGCAAGGAAGGCAGCTCACAAGTCTTTACCAAGGTCTCCACGGGCTGATGGGCTAATTCAGTTGGTGTTTTCATTCCTGTCCCTAAGGGACACACAGAGCCCCATGTATTAATTACCTGTTAGGTTTTCTCTGGGTTTCAGTGACTTCTCCTGAGACAGCTGTAGGGGAGGATGTGATGATGATCTCATGGTTTTTTTCCACTGCCAGTGCCTTTAACTCCCTAACGGATCTCCAGCCTTTGTCTGAATTAAATAAATAAAGCTTCTCTAATTGCTAAAGGCCAGAGCTTTTTCATTTGAGTGTTTTCTCATTTTAAAATTTTCTTCACTATATATGTTTGGTGTGTATACAAAATAATAAACGTTATAAAAAAGTGAACCATCACCAGTCGCTGCCCTCATCCAGCGATTATGGGCTGTTGTGCATGTTCTCTTTTACCATGCCCACACAAATATGTGTAAATTTGATATACATACACATTTTTCCGCTTACTAAAGTGAGATTGTATATATAAATACATACACACACGTGTATTACTCTTTGTTCATGCAACGTAATAGACATGACTCCAGTAACTATAGACTAAAAATTAACAGTTTAATATGGATTTTCTGTTGATTATATGATTATTCTCCTGTAGGTAGACACTTAGATTGTTTCCTCCTTTTTGCCCATATATTCTTTGGCATTTTTATTTTTATGTGTTCTATGAGGTATTCTCCAAAGTAGGGTTAAAACACCTGTATTTTTATTAAGTGCCACATTTTCTAAAACACTGTAGCAATTCACATTCCCATTAGCAACATATGAATGTATATATATGTCCCCCCCTCCCTTCCTAGGACTTCAGCTTTTTGTCTAGATGGCCACCAGCATTTTTGTTTTTGAAATCAGAGAACTTTACTAGGTTTTATCTCCCTGTCAACCATTCTTCATCAGTGTTTCCCCTGCTGCACCTTTTATTTCTTAAAATCATTTTTTTCAATATTTTCTTGATTATGTCTTGAAATCTTTGTTCGGTTCCACTTTTCGGTTCTTTTTCAGGACCCCAGTTACGTCTGTGCTGACTCCCCTTTGCCGGACTTCTCGATCTGTCATTTTCCTTTCTTCGCTCACCTTTCTCTACCCTGCCTTCCAAATTCTGTGCCCTATTCTCTGTTGTTTCCAGCATGGCCTTTTTTTCCATGATGCTTTTATTTTTTTTAAAAATCTGATTAGCCACCTTTCAAGTGCTCAGTAACCACATGCGCCCAGCAGCTACCATACTGACAGCACAGTTCTGGAAGAGGACTAAAGGCTTGGGGTTCTGCTGACTTGACTCACTCCCTTAGTCTCCAGTTCTCCAAACCCCAAGGTATCTCTAGGGAAACATAAGGCTCTGACACAATTTGAAAGCCAATGTGATAGTAAACCATCTCATAGAGGAGTTTCATGTAGAAATGACCACTGAGTCTAAGTTTGGGGGTTCCCCCCTGTCCAGACTCTAGTATCAGGGGGACTAGATGGACCCTGTGGCACACAGCCAGAAAAGGATTACAAAATGCTGAGAACCTTATCAACTGGATTTTAAGGATTGTCAGAGGAAAGCCTATCTGGGCAGAAGTAGGTGGTCTTCTCAGAGTCTAGAAAAGGGGAGCTCCTGTGCCAGAAAGTGCCAGTGTGCAGTGTTGTCCCAGGAGAGGGGTTAAGATACAATTGGTCTCTCTCTGATGGTCAGAGCTCCCCTGCCCATCCCCTAATTCCCTTGGTTCTGATCCCAAGCTCTCCAAGCAGTCTTCAAATGATGACTGGCTTCTTGAAGAGATTTCCCAAAATAACAGAACCTCACTAGTGGGTCCCGCTATCCTATCTATTTGGCAGGTGTGTTCCTCACTCAAATTAATAAACTGGCATCGTGTTTAGAAATGAATTCCTTGGGCGCCTGGGTGGCTCAGTTGGTTAAGCGACTGCCTTCGGCTCAGGTCATGATCCTGGAGTCCCGGGATCAAGTCCCGCATCGGGCTCCCTGCTCGGCAGGGAGTCTGCTTCTCCCTCTGACCCTCTTCCCTCTCGTGCTTTCTATCTCTCATTCTCTCTCTCAAATAAATAAAATCTTAAAAAAAAAAAAAAGAAATGAATTCCTTGCCAATTTCCCAGCCCAATTCCATTTTCAAAAACACCAACTAAATTGGGATTTCTGAGAGCTGCAGAATGGAGACACTCGGGGCCATGCTGACTCCACTGAGGTACTGAGCTGGGACTTCTGAGTACCCAGCCAAGGAAGTTAACACCACACTCTGGCCCGAACTGAACTCAAGGAATGTGGGGATAAGCCTATGAAATGTCTCCAAGACCAGACAAGATCAGTGTGTGACACTGGTAGGCGCTACAGAAGACATTTCCTACTAGTACTGCTCACTTCAAGGAATTATCAGTCCTTTCAAATTCTGTGTGGCTTTCTGCTGTTAAATTATGGTGCCACCTCTTGGATGTAAATTGAAAATCTAGCTTCTTAAAATTTCTAGTCTCTAGTCACATGCATTTTAGAAAATCTATAGTGGGGGTCACAGTGTGTTTTTAAATTTATATTTTGCATTACAGTTAAGGAACTACTTAACAAATCCCTCACTACAAATCCCTGGCCGGGGTGGGGGGCGGGATTCCTGGCAGCCCATAGCCCAGAGAAAACCTGCCTCCCGAAGTCTGAGTTTTTGGTTGTCTGGAACTTCAAACATTACAAAGGTGCCACCTACATCCTCTGGTTCTCTCCCCCCATTCCCTAGACACAAAGGAGTGGGGAGAAGCTGAGAACTTTTGGAAAATACCAGAGCTCTTCTGAGTGGCCTCTTTTCCTGCTGGAGAGGGTGGTATGGGGATGTGAAGCCTAGAGCTGTTGCCTTTTTGCCTCCAGGAAGGAAGTGGGCCTAAGGATGAAGCTGGCACTGCTAGCTAGCGTGAGGCAGGGGAAGGAAAGAGAGTGGGTCCTTTATGACATCACTGAGCTGCTGCATCAGACTAACCCCTAAGTAAACCCTGCCTCTGGACTTTCCAGGTACTGGGCTAACAAATGCCTTTCTTGTGTAAGCCAGATAGAGTTCGGTTTCTGTTGCTTGTCAAGGAAATCATCCTAACAGTGATCCATGTAAAAAACCGTAAGTAAAATGCCTTTAGAGCGCACACTGAAATGTACGGGAAAAGAGAGGGAAAAGAGTAGGAAAAGTTCTGAAGCCAAGACCAGGTACAGCAGAAGCACTTTTGGAGGCAGTATGGCTTCGAGAAGGCAGCTGAGCATAACTCATGTTCTGCATGTATTAGCTGTGGTCCTGGGTAATCCAAGTGACTTTTCTTGTCCTTGGTTCCTAGCCACAGAATAAGAGTTGTACCAGATGACTATTTCTCAGCTCTTTCATCATCAGTAATTTTTATTATTGGTCCTTCTTGGGGATTTTGTAGTTTTAAAAGTTTTGTCTGCCAATATATTTTCTCAGGTACTTAGACAAAAGCACACAACTGCTTTGATTCTGATCAGCAAAGGTAATGAACTTACTTACCTGACCAAATCACTATAACTTGCACTGGATATTTAAAAACAAGGTATTTATTATTAGCTTTTGAAGCTTTAATGTAGTTATGATTTCTGATAGGCTTTTACAAATACTGAAAGTAGCTTCCAGGCCCTCTTCTTTTAAGGCTCTTTGGAGATTCATAGGAACTACCAGATTTGAAGACTGCACCATCCAACGAGGACAAAAATTCAGTGACTTCCCCAAAATAATTAACAGTAAATTACAAGTCCCGATTACTCTTATTTACTTTTTCACAAAATGCTCCATAGTTTTCAAAAGACAAAAAGCATTTTTGTAGATAAGCCTTTTAAAATATAAAGACCACAAAGCAGTGTGACAGGTTTTCTTCTGTCACTTGTAAACTCTAGAGAAGGCAATCCTCAGAACCCTAGAGTGCTGTGGAAACATCTTCATTTACAATCAGGATAAACTGCATCCAACCAGGAGCCCTGGGTTCCAGCTGCCATCCTGTATGGTGTGATCCTGAACAAGTCTCTCAACTTCTGAATAGCAGAAGCCCCATCACAGGATGAAAGGGGCTGACTGAGGTCGTCCTGACTCTTCCAGCTCTGTTATTTTGTAATGCGATGAAATCGGACTAACGTGTTCCAAACTGTTTGGATGTCAGAACCTACATTGAACGTACAGTACTTTTAAAATTCTTACTTCTTTTTTGAGTCCTGTTCTTAAATTTTTTTTCATGTTCTTCAGTGCACTGAAATATATTTTCCTACTTAACAGCCTCTTCATGAATAGCAGTTAAAAAGCTTCTCAAGGATGTACTTCTCATAACTTGCTTTTATTTTTTTTCGACTTGCTGCTTTAATTTCTCCAAGATCTCTTCTGCAGTTGTGGACACTAATAGCTTCACCACTTTTTCACGAGATTTACCACCCTGGACCAAAAGGAAAAAATGGTGTGAGGATGACTCACTGAGCATTCTAGTGCTATTAGAGAGAGCAGGGCTCAGCTGCAGCCATCAAAGCTGAGTCCTCGGTGCTGCCGCTGGTGGGCTGCAGCTTTCCTGACAGCCAAGCTAGCGCGTTCTCTCGCTCATCTCTGGATTTCTGGTCTAAGCAGCAACTGTATCCCAGATTCCACCGTACTACAAATGTTTACAACTCTCCAGGGTTTTTACCTTCATACATCAATTTCTGTAATAATAAAAATTGGCATTAAAATTTCAAAATGGAGTCCAGATGTAGAATATTGTGTTTTTAAGTAACTTCTTTAAATTAAAGGTGAAAATTTTTTAAATTACCAAATACTGCAATTTTATATAAACCTTGTATAAAAATAATTCCAAATATAGAACTGTTCTGTTACACATTTCTGAAAATTCAAAAAAAAAAAAAAAAAAAAGCAAATGCTCTAATTTCACAACCGAGCCAAGGGTTTCATTTTGAAACATCCTTTAAAGAAGGTAAAATCTGAGCCGGGATTATCTATCGGCGGAGAAGAGTGGGAAGTGCCTTTCAGGCCCATGTCAGAGCGTGCGCACCGACAAATCCGAAATGACCTGCCACAGGTGGAAGATATATCAAGGGAAGTGGTCTGATGGGAGAGATTTTTAGATGCAGCCTATTAACCAAAGACTCTGAATGCCAGCTAGAACCTGGATCTAGAGAGTATATCCCTAGAAGCATGGTTGGGTCTCACTCCTGCAAATTCTATGTCAGTAAGTCTTGAAGGGCGCCTGGGTGGCTCAGTCATTAAGCGTCTGCCTTCGGCTCAGGTCATGGTCCCGGGGTCCTGGGATCGAGCCCCGCATCAGGCTCCCTGCTCGGTGGGAGGCCTGCTTCTCCCTCTCCTGCTCCCCCTGCTTGTGTTCCCTCTCTCACTGTCTTTCTCTGTCAAATAAATAAATAAAATCTTAAAAAAAAAAGTCTTGAGTGATGCCCAGAAATGTGTATTCTAGATATCACTCCCACGTGATTTTGATACCCAGCCCCAGAGCAAACCCATGATATTAATGACTTCATCTGGCACTCTCTCTTCTTGATGAGCTTCTCCCGGGAGTCAGGATAACATGGGGGACCAGAAACACGTTGATGGACTCACTAAGGGACCCCTTTCAGATTTGTTAGTATGGTGATGATTTAAAGGAAAAGATAAAATCAGTCTGACAGCAGGTACAGGAATACATGTAGAAAGAAGAAAATGCTCGAAATGGTGGCAACTAAGGAATACACGTACAGAGCGCGGTCAGAGTAAGGATCAAGGCAGCAGGAATGAAGGAGACTATATAGAATTCACACATTTTAGTGATTAAATGGATGAGCGTTTAAAAAGAAAACCTAGCTTTTCAATTACTTGGAAAAGAAAGAACCCATATTTATAAAATAATGACTGATGTGTAATCATCAAAGCTGTTTCCAGGGAGAGAGACCTACCTTATCCAAAACCACGTCACTCTTCCTGAGCTCCAAGACTTTGGAGAGGTACCGACAGAGCTCGGCATTAGCCTCTCCTTCCGACGGGGGGGCTGCTATGGCCACGCTCACAGCTTCCACTGTCACGTCTGCAATGAAATCAGCGCGGACTGTATCCTTAAGGAGCGAGGATATTCTGTAAAAGGGTTTGCATTTCCCTGGCACAGAGTGGGTTTTCCATCAATAACTACTGCATGAAGAAATGAGCGAGTAAACTACTCACACTTGAGGGAACATAAACATGATAAATACGCCTCTGCCGTTTCAGGAAAGAAATCCAGAGAAAACTGACATTTCCCCTGTCCTGTGGACCAAGATGGGCCCAGAGTCCTGGGCAGTGTCCTGGGCCTCAAGCAACTGGAAACTGCCCGAGTGGTACGAAGAGCCCCAAGGCAGGATCAGGAGCTGGGTGTGAACGAGCCAGCTCACGGTTCCGTCATTGGGAAAATGAGATTCAGCTCATGTGAAATGCCTCTTTTGGTTTTTAAAATGCAGCATTTAAACATTTACACAGCACTTGTATACACTAATTCGATGGCACACAAACGTGTTTCAGGGACTTCACAAATATTAACTTGTTCAATCCTCACTACAGCTTTATGAAGAAGATATTAATGCCATTATGGTCTCCAGTTTACAAATGAGGAAACAAATCCAGATGTGCCCAAAGGCACATGGCTATAAAGCTATGTTGTAAGTCAAAGTTAATTTGAATGCATGCTTTGACATCCTGGGACAAAGAACATTGCTTTTGAAGAGTGCTCCTGCTTCCCGGGTCAATACAGCCTTTATAAAGTGCACCTGCCCCTAGTCCTCCACAGTTATTCGGAGTGAGAAATATTTACTCAAAGGAGTTTGCAAGTGAGCTTAAGTTGGACCCCACCTGGGGTTATGCAGGCATTTTTCACACACTTACACGTTGCCCGTGTGAACGACGTGGCCACAGAATCCACAAGCACAAAGTGGCGCAACAACCCACCTCCTGTCCTGTCACTGATTGGGATTCTAAGGTGTGCCCTTGTCTGCATTTTAGTACCTTTCAAATCTAGATGCATCTCACAATAGACGGCAAAGACAGTATTCACATGGATTCTGTCTTGCTGGTACACAGAATACTTGTGTACCTTCTAGTGGATGGCCATCTCAGATTTGATGACACGTGGTGTGCCGAGAGTGGACTGTCCACGGTGACTACTCAGAAAAGGCTGGCCACGGTGGGTGCGGCCCACACACAGCCAAGCTAACTAGGCCACTAGCACAAACCACGTCCAGCACTCCAGTTCTGAGGTCTTGTTTTCAAAGTGTAAAAAGAAAAGGAATAAAGAGCTTTGGAGGTGAAAAAGACCTTCACAGTAATTCAGATGAATGGTTCTCAAACTTTTTTCCCACCAAGAATACCCCCCCCACCTGCCCCCATACAAGTTCCCCTGGACTCCCAACATTCACAATAAATGAAAACACAGCTCCTCAGGAGCCCTGCCTGCTGCCCCCCACGCCCCGTGTCCACCTAAGAGATCCATGAGGCACCTTTTGGGCTCCAGGGAATCGCCTGAAAGCCTCTTAGTCCAATACCCCATCCCACAGAGAAAAAGAACTGGGCCCAGAAGAGTTTTGTATTGTTTTAACTTAAAACAAGTTTGCACAGGAGCTGAAGACCAGAGCTCTCAGATACCAGGTTTTCTCTTCCTCCTTGGTCATTAGACTCAACCAAAATGTCTCTTCTTTCTTTCTCTGACCAATGTCTCCACTTCTGAAATAAGTACAAACTAATAATTCTAGGCTACATACATGTGTCCTTTCTAAAACACCGTATTTTTAAGAGGGAAAATATACAGTGGCTTTGTCATCGAACTTGGCATGCTTTAAATATCGTATAGTCACTTCGACACTGGATTTACACCTTTACATTATTAGAATCTAGTAAACGGGGAAGCCTCTAATCGCAGATTCGAGAAATACACCGACTGTACAGGATCAACTTTCAGCTAACCAAGGCGAAGGGAGGGTGGAGGGGGACCCCCTCCCCCCGCCTCACGACTCCCACCTCAGTGTCCACATATACCTGTTACAGCGTTTCGTTTGGACCCGGGTTTGGCACGGATGGCTATGGTGACACAACCCTTAGGATCAACGGCCACGGGACCTAAGGGAGGAAGTGGTCCCTCTGGTTCCTTGCTCTGGTTCTTACCCTAAAACGACAACAACCACACGGCAACTTTACAGGCTATCAGATACGTTCCCACACCTTTGAGCCTTCCACTACTCCCTTTCACCTTTAACTAAGACGAGCTCGTCGCGCTCAGGAATTCCTGGCCACCCGGAAGGGTTTTCCAAGTATTCCGAATCAATTCTTGCACGAAGCCCTCCAATCAGCCCACCCGAGTGTTCTTCTCCTGCGCTGGGAAGACGAGACTCTGGCTCCCACACCTTAGCGCTGGGCCCTAGCCCAGGCGCAGGGGCCGCTTCTTACTCATCCTTGCACCTCCGGCGGCACGAGCTGACAAACGTCTGTGCGCAACTAGGCTGGAAGCGTGTGTACTTGGGGGAGAGGAAGGGACGGCGGCGGCACTGGAGGCCTGCTCCTGTGACGGAAGCTGCTGCCGAGCTCCGCGTTCAGGGCAGCGGGCAGCGCGGCGGTAGGAGCACAGAGGATGCGCACAGAGCGGCGAGGACGCGCTGCGCGCACCGGCGGCCCTGGGGGGACGGCGCCGTCCCGAGCCTCCGACGCCGGGAGGGGGGGGGGCGGGGCGGCGCGCCGGCCCCACGGGGACCCTGCCGTCCGGACAGAGGAGGGGCGGCGGAAGGCCGCGGGAGCCCCGGGTCTCGGGGGCCACCAGCCGCCGGCTGCGCTTCCCCGCCTCTCTCCCGCGCGCCGCCCACCCTCCCCCTGCCACGGGGCTTGCCACTGGCCTTGTTCGTCGCACCAGCTTTCTTGGGCATTTCAGCGCCTGAGGGGAGCCGGGCAGAGGCTCCGGCCCCGCGTCCCGACAGGAGCTGCCTCAGCCCGCCGTACAGCCGCAGCATCCCCGCCCGGCAGCCGGGCGGAGGCGAGCCGGCGCCGGAAGAGCGCTCCGCGCCTGCGCAAGCGGCCGGGAGCGGCCCCGCAGGCCTGCGTCTCCGCTCCGGCCCCAGGGCGACCCCTCCCGGCCGGCGGGAGCATGACCCACCCCGTCCTGGAAAGTAGCCCGGGAAGACTGGGATAGAGAGAGCTGGGATTGAATCCTGTGACGGCCCCCGACCACACACACCCACACCCCAGGGAGGAAGGCTGTGTTACCGCTGGTCTTCTTTCCTCCTGGAAACAAAGGACTGCAGCGAGCGGCAAGGCGGGCACAGGGCCAGGTGTCGGCCGACTCCTGCTGCCCACCAGCGGGTGCGGACGCTGCTCCCCATGGCCCACAGGTGGTTGTGGAGCCTCGTGCAGCCTCAGCCCTCGGGCACCTTCCCAGTGTTGTGCCAGGCGCTGAGGATTCCGCAATGTAAAAGGAGAGGAGATAATATTCTGATGTGCGATGTGGCAAGAGATGAAACTGGAGGTGGGCAGAAGCAAGGGACTGGCGCAGCCCCATGTGTTGTTTGGAAAAGATCACTGGCTGCAGCGTGGCCAGCAGGGCAGAGGCCGGGAGACCTGCCGCTCAGACGGAAGATGGTGCCCTGAGCCAGGATGATGGCAGTGCGGCACTGAGCGGAGAGTGTATCATCTCAGGGATATTCAGGAGCTGCAGCGTGGGAGGGAGGCCTGGGTTTACATTCTGCCTCCCCCTGACGGACCTTCAGAAACATGAAATCTCTGCGTGTGAAGTGGGTTTTAGAACAGCACTTAACTCACACTGATGTGAGGCACGGAGGAGAATGTGTCAGCTACTTAGTGCAGAGCCCGGCACAAAGCGATCGCTCTGGTAGCTATTACTAACACCAAACAACCCTAACAGAGTAAATAACGAGAAGAGTCTTCATTCTCCCACCTCCTGAGATGAGAACAAGGGAGAAAAACCGGAGGCCACAAAAAAGGATCAAGCAGCAGAGAGATGGCAGGAGTGATTTACTGCTAAGGCAGCAGCGAGGCACTCTTACTTTGTGTTGCATTACTTCCATAAATTAAAAATAAGGTTAAACCTCAATTAACTAGAATCCTTGTCCCAAAACGGTGTCTTGTACTCAACTTCCAGGGGAAAAAAAAGACAAATGACAAAAAAATAAAAGGATAATATTTATTTTTTTAAAAATTCCAGGGGACATCCCATATCAGTGAACAGTTCCGTTTCTTATCCCTTCTATAGCTACCTTCAGTTACAATCATTGCTCAGTGCAACATACTTGAAAAGCATTTGAAATGCCTCAAATGTCAAAAAAACATTAACTTACTAACCCAGGGCATACCATACTTTACAAGGTAGAAGTACTTTCCATAACGGTTACTACAGGGTATTTGCTGGTTAATCTTTAGTCAACCAGAACCACACACATTTCATAGATATTCCAGTTAACTGAGGTTTACATCCGTAAGACACCAGAGATAGAAAAATGTCCCTTCTTCAGCAATTTTGAGACCTCTGCCACCAACACACCTCACTACCTTCTTAAAAATATAAAATGAAGTGCTATTTTAGATGAAAAATTTTTGTCCTAATTACTATTTAGAAAACCTCAATTCTTAAGTTGTTACTTAAAAGAATTGTGATTTTTTACCATCTTCCAAAACTATTTGATATATCTTACACTTAATTACACATAAGCTTTTTTTTAACAAGATAATCACTTTTGAGGGAAAAAGAGAATGTTATTTATATAAAAATTTTGCTTTATAAAAAAGTATACAAATGTTGTTCTACCAGGTATACATCCTATCCCCTCCTAATACAACTGTACCTGTGACATGAGTGAGGTCATAAATATGAAATATATCTTACTTCTTGGGTAGAACTGTGTAGGTGACAGAAAGTATACTTTTCAGCAGGAGTGATTCTGTTGGTTATCTTTAAAATTTCAAAGCAGTTGTTAGAGAAGTCAGTATTTTATTCAGTTTCTTGTCATGTAAGATTATCGCCCCAATGTTGAACTGATGCTGGTTGGCCGGTCGCCACCAGCAGCGCCATCTCAATCTCGGGCATTCTCAGGAGCGTTGCCCATACAGACACACGAGTACAGTGGTGCAGATTAGTGATAAAGAATCAGGTCTTAGACTCTACCTTTAGACCCTCTGTTTATGTCACATTATTGTGAATCTGTACAAACTCCATTTATAGTTTAAAACTGTACTACGTAACATGACTATATACTGTTACAAAATATCCTTTTTTGTAAATACATTGAGAATGTTCTTGGGCATTTATTAGGCCTACTTCTAGCAATATTCTGAATGCTAACAACCAGATACTTCAAAACTCCAAATACAAGGTCAGTTTTCTTTGAAATTAGTTATGTGAATTAATGGGAATTCTTTAGGAATACTGACCCATCTCATCTCATGTAACCTTCAGAATAGATAAGCCTGTAAGTCCAACTCATCTAACCTTCACAACAGTTAAAACAACATCAACAACAAAACCAGCTGTCTGAAACAAGAATCTTTCTATAAAACTGTGGAAAGACCATGAGTCAGCTGATCTATGAAATTATACAAGATAAAGCTTAAAGACCTGCGTTTTTTTTTTCTTTTTAAATAGTTAACGCCCAGTTCTCTTTTCCCCTAAGGTTATAAGAAAATGAAAATCTGCTTTTAAACCATGCAGGGATTTAAATCAACATTCTTTATCTCCTCTAAGAAACTAAAATGTTTCTTATCTTAAAACTTTAAATATTCATGATACTCAAACTATTTTTTGTGGCCAGTTTTTTATGCCTTTGAGACTAGATGGTATGGTACTATTTAGCCAAGATGTATCAGAATGCTGAATTATGTATAAAATATTATTTCTGGTATTTGTCCATCTTCTATTGAAGTGCCATTATTATTGCCAGGGGAACTGAAAAAGAAAAAAACAGTCTTGCTAGCAGTAGGTGTCTCATGCACGACTTTCTTCAATCCTTTTGTGCCATAGTGGGAATCTGGACCCTAAATGAGAACAAAAGGTTCATTAGTAATTTTCATTTAATAAGCACTCAATTTAATGTGGTGTTTTAATTAGATTAACGATCTATTATATTTCATTATAGTTCTTATATGAAACTTTGTTAAACCATTTCATGAAAAATGAAGTTTTTGCTACAAAGCCAGTTAATGATTAAAAATACTGAATGTAGAAGTCAGCTTTTAGACAACAGTGAAATGGTTTTAATAAAATAATTATTTTATCTTCTGTCAAACATTCAAACTCCTACTCAAGCAAAGGGCTACTTCTTGTGAAGAACATTTCAGAACAGAGCTGTGCTGAGAAGCACTTCTTTGTCAAAGCAGTGGAGAGTACTTTAACTCCCAGCTTCCTTCTTTCCCCTCTTCCTAAAGGCTTTCTTGTCAGGGACTCTCAGCTTCTATGGAAAACCATTCTGTAACATGCAAGAGGAAACCCACCAGTTCACCCTCTGGAACATTCCGGAAGACTTACTTTGAGTGTCGCGCATGCTGTGTAGCACACGTTGGGCAGGATCTCTATAGGTTCTTTGAACATGACCCTGAATGTGTTAGCAGTCCCATCACAACTGAATCCAGTATCATTTTGTCCCAGGGTCTGTTTTTTTTCATATTCAATGATCTGTAATTTTTCAAAGAGAAGTTATACTTCAGTTACATCAACTGAAGCCAGGTTTCACAGAAAGGAATATGGAGCCCTGAGGAATAGCGACTGCATCTCTGTTGTGTAATTCTTCTGGACTTACCTCTAACCCCCAGAGATGTCTCTAACAGGCTGTCAAGGGCAGGGAGGATGCCAGCTAACTGGGGCTCGGCGGCAGGACAGAGCGGCTTCCACAGAAGACACACGGCTCGGGTTACTGGTTTTTAGAGCCCCTGGATTTTAGATACTGAGGAAAATGGGCCTTTACTCCTTGCTAGCCTGTGTCTTGCCACTAGAAAATTCTCATAGCATTTCCTGCGTCTAAATGTTATTTACTGAAATTAAAATGACCTGAAATGCAATATTCAGATACACAGATATGGAAAATGTGAAAATCCTGTGTTTTCAATTTAGTCCCATAATCTGTGCCAGGCAGAGGAGGACACACTCTCAAGGAGCTTCTAGTCACTAGACGTGTGTGCAGTGACAATTCAGTACGGCGCTTGCAGTAAGAGCTGCTCAATGGAGGAGAATTTTATTTTGTCTGAAAGGGGTGAGGCTGCACGGAGGAGAATTTTAAAAGCTCCAGAGCTTACCAGGTTACAAAGGCCCGTGCGAGGGAACAGCACATGCAGAGGCTGAGGCTCAAAGACCTGCCTTTTCATTTACATCTGATAAAAACAGGAGAGTGGTCATCTCTGCAGGGGTAGTGACTGGAAAGACCACAGGGGGACTCCCGGGGCACTCTAATGTCCTGTTTCTTGATCTGGCTGCTGGCTGCACAAGTGTGTTCAGTGTGTGAAAAGCGAGCCACATGTACCACTTAGAAATATGTGTACTTTTCTAAATGTTTATCACAGTTCCATAAAAAACTTAAAACTGGGGCGCCTGGGTGGCTCAGTCTGTTAAGCATCTGCCTTCGGCTCAGGTCACGATCTCCTGGGATCGTGCCCCGCATCGGGCTCCCTGCTCAGCGGGAAGCCTGCTTTTCCCTCTGCCTCTCTCTGCTTGTGCTCTGTCAAATAAATAAATAAGATCTTTATAAAAAAACAAGACAAAACAAAAACACTTAAAACTGCGGCATGCTGGTGTCCCGGGGTCAAGCAGTAGGCCCCAGGATCTGGTGGTGGGTGGCAGTATAATCCACAACGACCACGGCACTTCTCTGAGCCCCAGTTTTATTGTTTCACTTGGAGGAATCTTTCTTTGCCTTCTTTCTAAGGCTGCTGTGAGAATACCATTAGAAATTCCAGCAATACCAGCGAAAGACCACGTGGCAAACACTTCACACGCATCCCCTCTCACAAAACTGTACGGTGGGCAACACGGC